TGGGTAATTTTTGTATTTTACTAGAGATGGGTTTTTACTATGTTGACCAGCCTGGTCTCGAACTCCTGACCTCAAGTGATCCACCCGCCTCAGCCTCCCAAAGTGCTGGGATTACAGGAATGAGCCACGGCGTCTGCCCAAAATATTTTTTTAAAGTGTTAAATATGGCCAGGCGCAGTGGTTCATGCCTGTAATCCCAGCACTTTGGGAGGCCGAGGCGGGCGGATCACGAGGTCAGGAGATTGAGACCATCCTGGCTAACACGGTGAAACCCTGTCTCCACTAAAAATGCAAAAAAAAAAAAATTAGCCGGGCGTGGTGGCGGGCGCCTGTAGTCCCAGTTACTCCGGAGGCTGAGGCAGGAGAATGGAGTGAACGCGGGAGGTGGAGCTTGCAGTGAGCCGAGGCTGCGCCACTGCACTCCAGGCTGGGTGACAGAACAAGACTCTGTCTCAACAAAAAAAAAAAAAAAAGTGTCAAAACATAGAAACAGTAGAACAGTGGTTACAGGGGTTTGCGGGTGGGGGAGATTGAGATGGAGGCCAAAGGGTACAAAGTTAAAGTTACGTAGGATGAATAAGTCTAAAGATCTAAAGTCCAGCGTGAAGACTATAGGCATCAATAATACTGTATTTTAACTGCAAATTTACTGAGAGTAGATTTTAGGGGCTCTCAACACGCACACAGAGGGGCAACTCTGTGAGATGATGGATGTGCTCATTTGTTTGACTGTCATAACCATTTCACGTTACATTCTGCACATTATTATTGTGATTACAAACAGGGTCGCACTTGTTACCCAGACTGGAGTGCAGTGGTGTGATTATAGCTCACTGCAGCCCCAAACTCCTGGGCTCAAGCAATCCTCCTGTCTCAGCTCCCCAAAGCTCTAGGATTACAAATGTAAGTCACTGTGCCCAGTCTGCCCTTTAAACAATCTATATTTAAGTATTAATTATGGCCGGGTGCGGTGGCTCATGCCTGTAATCCCAGCACTTTGGGAGGACATGTCAGGTGGATCACTTGAGGTCAAGAGTTTGAGACCAGCCTGGTCAACATGGCAAAACCCCGTCTCTACTAAAAATACAAAATTAGTTGGGTATGGTGGCATACACCTATAATCCCAGCTACTTGGGAGGCTGAGGCAGGAGAATCACTTGAACGTGGGAGGCAGAGGTTACAGTGAGCTGAGATCATGCCATTGCGCTCCAGCCTGGGTGACAAGAGCAAAACTCTGTCTCAAAAAAACTCCCAAAGTATTCCTTAAAAAGTACATTAGGTATATATTAAATAGCATATATTTAATAATAAAAAAAGAAACTGACATGGATATATTGCTATTTTTTTTTCTAGACAGGGTCTCCCTCCGTCACCCAGGCTGGCGTGCAGTGGTGCAATCAAAGCTCACTGCAGCCTTGAACTCCTGGCCCCAAGCGATCCTCCTGCCTCAGCCTCTCAAAGTACTGGGATTACAGGAGTGCAGCACCACACCCGGCTGGTACATTGCTATTAATCAAACTCAGGTTACATTTGGATTTCACCAGTCTGCCTGCCACTGCCCTTTTTCTGTTCAGAATCCAACCTAGGGCACTGCTTTGCACTGAGGTATGAGTTCCCTCCCATCTCTGACAGTTTATCAGCCTTTTCTTGCTGTTTATGACCGAGACAGGTTTGAGAAGCGCTGGTGAGGTATTCTGCAGAATGCCCCCCGCCACCTGGGGCTGTCTGAGGTTTGCTCCTGATCAGTCTAGAGAGAAGACCGTGAAGCCAAATGTCCTCTGCTCACGTTCATCACAGCAGGGACCCATGCAGCCCACGAGACCTCATTGCCTGGGGTCACACCCGCCAGGCACCTGCACTGTGACTTGCTGTTCCCCACTCCATACTCTGTTATTTGGGAGAGAGAAGAGAGGCACTAAGTACATTGCACTCTCATGGGGCAAAGGTTTTAGCTCCACCTCCTGGAGGGGGACAGTACTACATGTCACTTGGGATTCTTCTGTTCTTCTCTAAGCAAGATCTGTCTCTCCACCATTTATTCAATCACTATGAATTGATGTATATTTATGTCATACTTTAGGTCATAATCCCATGCTACACTATTTATTTTGTTGTTCTAATCATCCCAGCTTCGGCCACTGGGTGCTTTTTCCAGGTTGGCCCCGTGTCCCTCTGACCTAACCCGTCCTTTTGTTTCTTGAGCAATTCCCTACTTTCTGTCATTACTTAATGCTCCAGGCTTGCAACAAAAGATGTCACTCCAACCGGGCGCGATGGCTTACACCTATAATCCCAGCACTTTGGGAGGTAGAGGCGGACGGATCACTTGAGGCCAGGAGTTCGAGACCAGCCTGGCCAACATGGCAAAACCCTGTCTCTACTAAAAATACAAAGAACTAGCCAGGTGTTGGAGCACATGCTTGTAATCCCACGTACTCAGAAGGCTGAGGCACAAGAATTGCTTGAACCCAGGAGATGGAGGTTCCAGTGAGCCAAGATTGTGCCACTGCGCTCCACACTCCAGCCCGGGAGGCAGAGCGACACTCTGTCTAAAAAAAAAAAAAAAAAGATATCAGTCCAATTCCCCAGCTGATTCACTTAGTCTTCTGGCAAGTTTTTGTTAAGCACCTGCTGCATACCCACTGCTGTAAAAGCACTGGGAACATAGTCGGTGTTCATAAAGCCTTCCTCCAACCATATCTTCAAGCAACAGCTCAAGCCCGTGCTCTGTCCCCACCAGGCTTAGGGGATTCTGCAGAACATGGCAAATGAGACGCTTGCCCTTGTAGAACATGCACTCAAGTGGTGCAGAGAGACCTAAATTCATAATGACAGCAGCAGCTGTGTGCCGTGAACCCTGCTGAGGCTACCAAGGGGGCCAGTGGGGAGAGCTTGGAGCACTTTGTGGCAGGCAGAAGTGGTAAACCTGGGCTCTACCCTAAATGTTTGGAGCGAGCTGCTTCTGCAATCCTCCCAGTGACTGCGTGGCGCTAGACAAGGCACCTTTCCAGAACCTTCTCTCATTTCACGGGGGCCAGAATGGGACCAGGCCATCTATCTCCACATCATGAGGATGGAGAAACAGAGGCTGTGTTCAGGACCCCAGAGCCCAGGGCCCTTGGCTAAGATGCTCTCCCCCTGGCAGGGTCCAGCGCTCCAGACTGGAAATCAGAGAGGACAACATCCCAGATGCAGGGACCAGCACTGACCAGGAGTTCACAGCAAGGCCGTCCCTGCTCCTAGACACACTGTTATATGTAAATGCTTGCTCCCCGGTGCCACGAAGAAATAGCCCTTGAACATAAATGTAATGCTCTCAGCAAGGCCTTTTGTACTTTCTGCCGAAAGGGTGCTCATCACAGATGGAACAGTGGTGAGAGCACATCCGAACAAAGGAGGGAAGCAATTTTTATTCCTTAGGCAGTTTGTCCCTGCTACTGTGTCCTGTCTCCATTGGCTGGAACCAGACCTTACAATCTAAACTAAAACCCGATTGGCTAACAGTTTAAAACTTTTCCAAACAGGTAAAAGTAATGGAAGGATAAAGGAAAAGAGGAAGTTGTTTATGAAAGGACCTAGAAAAGTAATAACATTTCCAAAAAGGAAGGGGTATAGGCTGTGAGCTGGGACATGCCTGTGAGCACGTCCAGCACTCATATTTTGGTTAAAGTACAAGGACATAGAATGTACTACGTGCCTGTGAGCACGTCTAGCATAAATCTAGTCTTTAAAAGAAACTATTATTTCTAACACTTATGATTTATTTTTAACAAGAAGGGAAACTTTGAAGAGGAACTTTTACTTTCTACACACTTCATCCCAAATTTGACCCTGGCTCGTGTTTAGAGCAGGGCAGTCAGTAGAGCCTGCCTTGCGGTTTGACTTAAAGATGAAGCGGGAGTAGACCTGGTGTGGGGGCATCTCGGGCTCTGGTACACAGTAGGTGCACAGTGGGTGTGCTCCGGCCTGGTGATGTCTCTGGACACTGAGGTGGAGGGACCCTGCACACCAGTCTGGCATAGGAAATTGCCCAGGTACAGGATGGCAAAGCTGGCAGACAGACGTACCAGCCTCCCTGCCTGCCCAGCAGCTGTCGGCCTGCAGGCACCACCAATCTCTAGTGCCTGAGCAGGCAGCAGGGACTGGTCAGCAAAGCCATGCGCAAGGGAGGCTGGTGATGTGTGCAAGGTGGGCAGGTAGCCAGGCCTCGGTGCCTGGGGAGGAAGGCGCACAGGGAGCCTGGGATTGGTGTTGGGTAAGAAGCCGACACTCTGAATGGAGGATGGCGGAGCCTCAGGCATTAGGAGCGCTGCCTCCCTCTTCACTGAGCCAAGGAGATGGGGAAAGGAGGGGAAAGAGAGGAATGTATGCACTTCTTCATTGATCACTGGGGAAATGGAGGCAAAGAGGGCTGTGGGCGGGCCTCAGGACCTATGGGAACCCCAACAGTCTGGCTCAGTTGGTAGCTGCATGTGTGCAGACAGCGTTAGCGCATACCACAAACGCACAGAGGGACGGGCTGAGTTGAAGAGGGTGCATTTTCTTCCTCCTGTCCTGGAGTTGTAGCCAGGGCTCATATCCCTTGGTCCCTGGACTCCGTTCCCTCTAGGTTTCTTTTCTTCCCAGTTGCCTACCTCTGGTATTCGTTGTTACTTACAGAATCTTTAGGACCAAAGGGCTGAGCACGGGGCCAAGCATCTGGTAAGCAACAAGTCACTGGCTCTGCCCCTTCCGCTTTTGACAGGGTGTACCCGGGGTGGAGAGAGGGTGATCCTAGACCCGCTGTCACCTGTGGGGCTGTTCACTGCATGAGGGCAAAGAATGAGTTGGTCCCACTGCTCACAGTTTATCTCTGCCACTTGGCACAGGGCATGGTACAAAGCAAGCCCTTGACAAGTGCTTGTTGGATGCATGAATATACCACGGCCTAGATCTTCATCTTGGAGAGATTTTGGAATGTGCTAGAACCAACAATTCTCTGAGACAGGAAAACCCCTTACCATCAGCAGGATGTTCTGACGTTGGTCATCTTTTCACAGCTTCCTCCGGCCCCGCTAGGCAGCAGCTGAGTGGAAGAGAGCAATGAAGACATTTTTTTTTTTTTTTTTTTTTTTTGAGATGGAGTCTTGCTTTGTCGCCCAGGCTGGAGTGCACTGGCCCAATCTCAGCTTGCTGCAGGCTCCACCTCCCAGGTTCATGCCATTCTCCTGCCTCAGCCTCCCAAGTAGATGGGACTACAGGTGCCCACCACCATGCCTGGCTAATTTTTTTGTATTTTTAGTAGAGACGGGGTTTCACCATGTTAGCCATGGTGAACCAAGGATGGTCGCGATCTCCTGACCTCGTGATCTGCCTGCCTCAGCCTCCCAAAGTGCTGGGATTACAGGTGTGAGCTCCCGCACCCGGCCAATGGAGATATCTTGAGTCCACACCAGAGGGGTTGGACTTGGATCCCAGTTCAGCACCATATCTCTCTGTCCCTTAGTTTCCTCTTCTTTCAAATGGTGATGATACCTTGTTGGAAGATTAAACAAGGTCATGTGGGTAAAATATCACCTCAGTGTCTATCTATATTACAGTCAGCATTGAATCTGGGATCAGTCTCACCCAGACTGCATTTTGGCCACCTAATGTCCTGTTAATCCATCCATCCACCATCCATCCATCCATCCAGCATCCATTCATCTACCATCCATACAGCATCCATCCATCCATCCATCCATCCATCTGTCCATTCATCCATCCATCTGTCCATTCATCCATCCATCCATCCATCCAGAATCCATCCACTACCATCCATCCATCCATCCAGCGTCCTTCCATCCAGCATCCATCCATCCAGCCAGCATCCATCAACCATCCATCCACCACCATCCATCCATCCTTCCAGCATCCATCTATCCATCTATCCAGCATCCATCCATCCACCATCCATCCATCCATCCATCCATCCATCATCCATCCATCCACCCACCACCATCCATCCATCCATCCATCCATCCATCCATCATCCATCCATCCATCCACCCACCACCATCCATCCATCCATCCAGCATCCATCCATCCAGCCAGCATCCATCAACCATCCATCCACCACCATCCATCCATCCTTCCAGCATCCATCTATCCATCTATCCAGCATCCATCCATCCACCATCCATCCATCCATCCATCCATCATCCATCCATCCATCCACCCACCACCATCCATCCATCCATCCATCCATCATCCATCCATCCATCCACCTACCACCATCCATCCATCCATCCAGCATCCATCCATCCATCCAGCATCTATCCATCTATCCAGCATCCATCCATCCCGTCAGCCAGCCACCATCCACCATTCATCAGCCATCCATCCATCCAGCATCCATCCATCCATCCATCCATCACCATCCATCCATCCATCCATCCACCACCATCCATCCATCCATCCATCCATCCACCCACCCACCCACCCACCACCATCCATCCACCATCCATCCATCCATCCATCACCATCCATCCATCCATCCAACCAGCATGGATGAATAGTGATTCATCCATTTATCTATCCATGCGTGTATCATCCATTCACCATCCATCCAACATTGATTGACACATGCAGGCATTTATTGGGATGTTCATTAAGTCTACAGCCCATTTTTACATGTATCTTTCTTAAGCCAACTTGAGGTATACTCCCCTCCCTTGTTCAACATGAACGAGCACCCACAGCTAACACCATACTGAAATTTAAAGCCTTTTCTCTAAGATCTGGAAAAAGACAAGGAGCCCACTTTCATCACTTTTTTTTTTTTTTTTAGATGGAGTCTCACTCTGTCACCCAGGCTGGAGTACAATGGTGCAATCTTGGCTCACTGCAACCTCTACCTGCCGGGTTCAAGTGATTCTCCTGCCTCAGCCTCCTGAGTAGCTGGGACTACAGGTGCCCATCACCACACCCAGCTAACTTTTTTGTATTTTTAGTAGAGACAGGAAATTTACCATGTTGGCCAGGATGGTCTTGATCTTTTGACCTCATGAACCACCCACCTCGGCCTCCCAAAGTGCATGGATTACAGGCGTGAGCCACCGCGCCCAGCATAATCTCATCACTATACAACATAAAACTGGAAGTCCTGGCCAAAGCAAGGAGGCAAGAGAAAGAAATAAAAGGCATCCGAATTGGAAAGGAAGAAATCAAATTAGCCTTATTTACAGATCACATGATCTTATACTTAGAAGAACCTAAAGACTCCACCAAAAAAACTGTTAGCACTGAGAAATCAATTCAGTAAAGTTGCAGGGTATAAAAATAACACACAAAACCCAGGTAGCATTTATGTATATATCAACAGCAACAATCTGAAAAAGAAATCAAGAAAGCAATCTCATTTATACCAGCTGCAAAGAACATATAATACCTTGAAGAAAATTAAACCAAAGAAGTGAAAGATCTCTACAAGGAAACTATAAAATGCTGATGAAATAAATTGACAAAGACACACACAAAAATGGGAAGATATCTCATGCTCATTGATTGGAAGAATTAATGTTGTTAAAATGACAATTCTACTCAAAGCAATGTACAGATTTAATGAAATCCTTCAAAATACCAATGACATTCTTCCCAGAATTAGAAAAAACAATCCTAAAATTCATATGAAACCATAGAAGACCTTGAATAGCCAAAGCAATCCTGAGCAAAGGGAGAACAAAGCTGGGCCGGGCATGGTGGCTCATACCTGTAATCCCAGCACTTTAGGAGACCGAGGCAGGTGGAATACCTGAGGTCAGGAGTTCGAGATCAGCCTGGCCAACAGTAGAAACCCCGTCTCTACTAAAAATACAAAAATTAGCTGGGTGTGGTGACGCGAGCCTGTAATCCCGGCTACTTAGGATGTTGAGGCATGAGAATTGCTTGAATCCAGGAGGCGGAGGTTGCAGTGAGCCAAGACGGTGCTATTGCACTCCAGCCTGCGTGACAGAGCGAGACTCCGTCTCAAAAAAAAATTTTTTTTTTTTTTTTTTTTTTTGAGACGGAGTCTCGCTCTGTCACCCAGGCTGGAGTGCAGTGGCCGGATCTCAGTTCACTGCAAGCTCCGCCTCCCAGGTTCACGCCATTCTCCTGCCTCAGCCTCCTGAGTAGCTGGAACTACAGGCGCCCGCCACCTCGCCCGGCTAGTTTTTTGTATTTTTTAGTAGAGACGGGGTTTCACCGTGTTAGCCAGGATGGTCTTGATTTTGTGACCTCGTGATCCGCCCGTCTCGGCCTCTCAAAGTGCTGGGATTATAGGCTTGAGCCACCACGCCCGGCCATCAAAAAAAAAATTTTTTTAAAAAGCATATACTACCTGGCTTCAAAACATACTACAAAGTGGCCAGGCACTGTGGCTCATGCCTGTAATCCCAGCAATTTGGGAGGCTGAGGTGGCTGGATCACCTGAGGTCAGGAGTTTGAGACCAACCTGGCCAACATGGTGAAAACCCGTCTGTAGTAAAAATACCAAAAAATTAGCCAGGCGTGTTGGTGTGCACCTGTAATCCCAGCTACTACTAGGGAGACTGAGGCAGGAGAATTGCTTGAACCTGGGAGGTGGAGGTTGCTGTGAGCTGAGATTGCACCACTGCGCTCCAGCCTCAGTGAGAGAACAAGACCCTGTCTCAAGAAAAAAATTATAAAACATACTACAAAGCTATAGTAACCAAAATAACAGAGTATTGGCATAAAAACAGGTACATAGACCAATGGAACAAAACAGAGAACCCAGAAATAAATCCACACGTTTACAGCCAAATCATTTTCAACAAAGTTCTCAAGAACATACAATGGGGAAAGGACAATCTCTTCAATAAATGGAGCTGAGAAAACTGGATAACCACATGCAAAAGAATGAAACTAGATCCCATCTCTCACCATACACAAAAATCAACTCTAGTAGATTAAATAATTAAATGTGGCCAGGCGCAGTGGCTCACACCTGTAATCCCAGCACTTTGGGAGGCTGAGGCAGGCGGATCATGAGGTCAGGAGATCAAGACCATCCTGGTGAACACAGTGAAACCCTGCTTCTGCTAAAAATACAAAAAAATTAGCCGGGCATGGTGGTGGGCGCCTGTAGTCCCAGGACTTTGGGAAGCCGAGGTGGGTGGATCACTTGAGGTCAAGAGTTCCACACCAGCCTGGCCAACATAGTGAAATCCCATCACTACTAAAAATACAAAAAAAATTAGCCAGGCGAGGTGGCGGGCGCCTGTAGTCCCAGCTACTGGGGAGGCCGAGGCAGGAGAATGGCGTGAACCCGGGAGGCAGAGCTTGCAGTGAGCTGAGATTGCACCACTGCACTCCAGCCTGGGCGACAGAGCAAGACTCCGTCTCAAAAAAAAAAAAAAAAAAAAAAAAAAAGACTTAAATGTAAGACCAGAAACTAGGAAACTACTTGAAGAAAACATTTGGAAAATGCTTCCAGATGTCAGTCTGGGCAAAGATTTTTTGGGTAAGACCTCAAAAGCATAGGCAACAAATGCTAAAATAGACAAATGGGATTACGACAAACTAGAAAGCTTGACACAGCAAAGGAAATAACAACAGTAAAGAGGCAACCTATGGATTAGGAGAAAACATTTGCAAACTATCCATCAGACAAGGGATTATTATCCAGAATATAGGAATATATAAGGAGCTCAAACAACTCAATAGAAGAAAAACACAAATTATTCGATTTTAAAATGGGCAAAGATCTGAATAGACACTTCTCTAAAAAAGACAAACAAATGGCCAACAGGCACATAAAAAAAAATGCTCTATATCACTAATCAAGGGAGAAATGCAAATAAAAACCACAATGAGATAGCATCTTACCCCAGTTAAAATGGATTTTACCAAAAAGGGAAGAACAAACGCTGGCAAGGATGCAGAGAATAGGGAACCCTCATACACTCTTGGGGGGTTTGTAAACCTGCACAGCCACCATAGAAAACTACATAAAGGTTCCTCAAAAAACTAAAAATGAACTACCATATGATCCTGCAATCCCACTGCTCGGTCTATATCCAAAAGAAAGGAAATCAATTTATCAAAGGGATATCTGTACTCTCATGTTTAGTGCAGCACTAGTCACAAGAGCCAAAATATGGAACCAACCTAAGTGCCGGTCAATGGATAAACGAATAAAGAAAAGGTGTATATGAGCCGGGCGTGGTGGCTCACGCCTGTAATCCCAGCACTTTGGGAGGCTGAGGTGGGCGGATCACCTGAGGTCAGGAGTTTGAGACCAGCCTGGCCAACATGGTGAAACCCTATCTCTACTAAAAATACAAAAATTAGGCCGGGCGCGGTGGCTCAAGCCTGTAATCCCAGCACTTTGGGAGGCCGAGACGGGCGGATCACGAGGTCAGGAGATCGAGACCATCCTGGGTAACACAGTGAAACCCTGTCTCTACTAAAAATACAAAAACTTAGCCGGGCGACGTGGCAGGCGCCTGTAGTCCCAGCTACTCGGGAGGCTGAGGCAGGAGAATGGCGTGAACCCGGGAGGCAGAGCTTGCAGTGAGCTGAGATCCGGCCACTGCACTACAGCCTGGGTGACAGAGTGAGACTCCATCTCAAAAAAAAAAAAAAAAAAAAAAAAAAAATTAGCCAGGCGTGGTGGTGTGTGCCTGCAATCCCAGCTACTACTAGGAAGGCTGAGGCAGGAGAATTGCTTGAACCCGGGAAGTGGAGGTTGCTATGAGCCAAGATCTCGCCAGTGCCGTCCAGCCTGGGCAACAGAGCAAGACTTCATCTTAATTTAAAAAAAAAAAAAGAAAGAAAAAGAAAAAGAAAATGTGTATATATTACACAATGGAATATTATTCAACCATAAAAAGAATGCAGTCCTATCATTTGCAGCAATATGGATGAAACTGGAGTCCTTGGCCGGGCGCGGTGGCTCACGCCTGTAATCCCAGCACTTTGGGAGGCCGAGGCAGGCGGATCACAAGGTCAGGAGATCGAGACCATCCTGGCTAACACGGTGAAACCCCGTCTCTACTAAAAAAAATACAAAAAACTAGCCAGGCGAGGTGGCGGGCGCCTGTAGTCCCAGCTACTCAGGAGGCTGAGGCAGGAGGATGGCATAAACCCGGGAGGCGGAGCTTGCAGTGAGCTGAGATCCGGCCACTGCACTCCAGCCTGGGTAACAGAGTGAGACTCCGTCTCAAAAAAAAAAAAAAAAAAAAAAGAAAATGAATAATATAATGGTAGACTGAAATCCAAACATACAATAATTACATTAAATGTAAATAGCCTACACATACCAAAAAAAAAACCCCAAAAGATAAATAGATTAAAATCTATGATCCAATTATAGCTGCCTCTAAGAAACTTATATCAAATATTATACACGTTGGTTAAAAACAAAAGGATAGAAAATAATATACTATAAATATAAATAGTATATTATTTATATAGTATAAATAATATACTATATAAATAATATACTATATAAAAATAATATACTATATAAACTCCCTAAATACTTGGACATTAAACAACACACTTCTAAATAACCTAGAAATCAAAGAAGTCTCAAAGAAAATCAGAACACATGTAACAACAATGAAAATACAACATATCAAAATATGTGAGGTGCAGCTAAAGCGTGGTTTAGAGGGAATTTTATAGCATTAAGTGTTTATATGAGAACAGAAGAATGGTCTCAGATCCAGAATATCAGCTTCCTCCTGAAGAAGCTAGAAAAGGAAAGGAAAGATAAAACCAAAGGAAGCAGAAGGATGGAGATAATAAAGAGCAGAAATCAATCAAACTGAAAATAAAAACAATAGAGAAAATTAGTGAAACTAAAGCTGGTTATTTGGAAAAAAAAATCAATAAAATTAATAAGACTCTAGCCAGACCCACAGAGAAAGAGAGAGAGAGAGAGAGAGAGAGAGAGAGAGAGGCAGAGAGAGACAGAGAGAGAATACAAATGACCAGTATCAGAAGTAAAAGAAAATATCACTGGCCGGGCGCGGTGGCTCAAGCCTGTAATCCCAGCACTTTGGGAGGCCGAGACGGGCGGATCACGAGGTCAGGAGTTCGAGACCATCCTGGCTAACACGGTGAAACCCCGTCTCTACTAAAAAATACAAAAAACTAGCCGGGCGCGGTGGCGGGCGCCTGTAGTCCCAGCTACTCAGGAGGCTGAGGCAGGAGAATGGCGTAAACCCAGGAGGCGGAGCTTGCAGTGAGCCGAGATCGCGCCACTGCACTCCAGCCTGGGCGACAGAGCGAGACTCCGTCTCAAAAAACAAAAACAAAAACAAAAAAAAAGAAATTATACTCAATATTTGGGCTGGGCGCGGTGGCTCATGCCTGTAATTCCCACACTTTGGGAGGCCGAGGCAGGTGGATCATCTGAGTTCGGGAGTTCGAGACCAGCCTGGCCAACATAGGGAAACCCTGTCTGTACTAAAAATTCAAAATTAGCTGGGTGTGGTGGCGCGCACCTGTAATCCCAGCTACTTGGGAGGCTGAGGCAGGGGAATTGCTTGAACCGGGAGGCGGAGGTTGCAGTGAGCCGAGATCACGCCACAGAACTACTACATAATCTCTTCCAGAAAATAGAAGAGGAGGAAATCCCAACTCATTTTATAAGATGAGCATTAACCTGATACAAAACTTGACAAAGACAGTACAAGAAAACTATAGACCCACATGTCTCATGAACATACATGCAAAATCCTCAATATAATATTAGCTCATCAACTCTAGCAATACAAAAAAGATTAATACATTACAACCAAGTGGGATTTTTTCCTTTGAATTCAAGGCTGGTTTAACATTTGAAAATCAATTAATAGGCCGGACGCGGTGGCTCAAGCCTGTAATCCCAGCACTTTGGGAGGCCGAGACGGGCGGATCATGAGGTCAGGAGATCGAAACCATCCTGGCTAACACGGTGAAACCCCGTCTCTACTAAAAAATACAAAAAACTAGCCGGGCGTGGTGGCGGGCGCCTGTAGTCCCAGCTACTCGGGAGGCTGAGGCAGGAGAATGGCGTAAACCCGGGAGGCGGAGCTTGCAGTGAGCTGAGATCCGGCCACTGCACTCCAGCCTGGGTGACAGAGCAAGACTCCGTCTCAAAAAAAAAAAAAAAAAAAGAAAATCAATTAATATAATCCAGCTTACTAACAGAATAAAAAAGAAAAGCCATGTAATCATAGCAATTGATGAAGAAAAAGCGTTTGACAAATTCAACACCTGTTAATGACAAAAACCATTTAAAACTGGGAATGTAAAGAAACTTCCTTACTGTAACCAAGTGCGTCGGCCAAAACCCTATAGCCAGCTTCCTATCAAATAGTCAAAACTGATGCTTTCCTCCAAGACCTGGAATAAGGCAAGGTGGTCCACTCTTGCTGGAAGTTTCTTGCAATAAGGTAAGAAAAAGAATTACGTGGCCAGTCGCAGTGGCTCACTTCTGTAATCCCAGCACCTTGGGAGGCTGAGGTGGGCAGATCACTTGAGGTCAGGAGTTTGACACCAGCTTGGCCAACGTGGTGAAACCCTGTCTCTACTAAAAATACAAAAATTAGCCAGGTGTGGTGGTGCGTACCTGTAATCCCAGCTACTTGGGAGACTGAAGCAGGAGAGTTTCTTGAACCCAGGAGGCAGAGTTTGCAGTGAGCTGAGATCGTGCCACTGCACTCCAGCCTGGGTGACAAGAGCAAAACTCTATTAAAAAAAAAAAAAAAAAGACAGTAAGAAAAAAAGAAAAAGAATGAAGCAGCATCTTTTAAAAGAACCAAGTTTTGGCTTGACTTGGTGGCTCATGCCCATAATGCCAGCAATTTGAGAGCCTGGGGTAGGTATATCACTTGAGACCAGGAGTTCAAGACCAGCCTGGGCAACACTGGGAAACCCTATGTCTACAAAACAACACAAAAACTTAGCCAGGTGTGGTGGCATTTGCCTGTAGCTCCAGCTACTCAGGAGGCTGAGCTGGGAGGATTACCTGAGCCAGGGAGGTCGAGGCTGCAGTGAGCCATGATCATATCACTACACTCCACCCTGGGTGATAGAATGAGACCCTGTCTCAAAAAAAAAAAAAAAAAAAAAAAGGGGCCGGGCGTGGTGGCTCACGCTTGTAATCCCAGCACTTTGGGAGGCCGAGGTGGGCGGATCACGAGGTCAGGAGATCGAGATCATCCTGGCTAACATGGTGAAACCCCATCTCTACTAAAAATTACAAAAAATTAGCCAGGCGTGGTGGCGGGCGCCTGTACTCCCAGCTACTCAGGAGGCTGAGGCAGGAGAATGGCTTGAACCCGGGATGCGGAGCTTGCAGTGAGCCAAGATTGCGCCACTGCACTCCAGCCTGGGCAACAGAGCGAGACTCCGCCTCAAAAAAAAAAAAAAAAAAAAAAAGAGGCCGGGCCTGGTGGCTCACACCTGTAACCTCAGCACTTTGGGAGGCTGAGGTGGGCGGATCACCTGAAGTTTGGAGTTCGAGACCAGCCTGACCAACATGGAGAAACCCCGTCTCCACTAAAAATACAAAATTAGCTGGGCGTGGTGGCACATACCTGTAATCCTGGCTGCTTGGGAGGCTGAGGCAGGAGAATTGCTTGAATCCAGGAGGTGGAGGTTGCGGTGAGCTGAGATCGTGCCATTGAACTCCAGCCTGGGCAACAAGAGCAAAACTCTGTCTCAAAAACAAACAAAAAGAATATAAATAAAAAAAGAATCAACTTTTAGTTTCATCGATTTTCTTTATTGTTTTCCTATTTTCTATTTTATTTATCTCTGCTGTACTGTTTATTATTTTTTTCTTCTGCTTGTCATGGGTTTAGTTTGTTCTTCTTTTTCTGGTTCCTAAGGTAGACTGTTGATTTGACATCTTTCTTCTTTCTAAATGTTAAGTGATTACAGCTATAAATTTCCCTCTTAGCGCTGTTTTTACTGTATCTGAGGTTTTGGTGTGTTGCGTTTTTGCATCCATTTCTCTCAAGGCTTTTTCTGATTTCTCATGTTATTTCTTCTTTGACCCATTGGTTAGTTAATTGTGTTGTGTTTACCACATACGTGTGAATTTTTCCATTTTCCTTCTGCTATTGATTTCTGGTTTCATTTTATTGTGATTTCAATGTTTTTAAATTTTAGAATTGTTTTGTGGCCTTTCCTAGAGAATGTTCCATGCACATTTGAGAAAAATATGTATTTTTGCCTGAAGCTATCGTTGGATGGAGTGTTCTCTTTATGTCTTTTAGGTCCAACTGGCTGATGTTATTCACATTCTCTATTGCATTATTGATTTTCTGTCTTATTTTTCTTTTTTCTTCTTTTTTTGTTTTTTTGTTTTGCTTTTGTTTTTATTTAAAAGTCTCATTTTGTCATCCAGGCTGGAGTGCAGTGGTGTGATCATGGCTCACTGCAGCCTCGACCTCCCCAGGTTCAGATGATCCTCCCACCTCAACCCCTGAGTAGCTGGGACTACAGGGATGCACCAACATGCCCAGTTAATTTTTGTATTTTTTGTAGAGATAGGGTTTCTCCATATTACCCAGGCTGGTCTTGAACTGCTGGGCTCAAGCAATCTGCCCACCTCGGCCTCCCAAACTCCTGGGATTATAGGCATGAGCCACCATGCCTGGCCCTGTCTGATTTTTCTATTCATTATTTAAAGTGTGGTAATGAAGTCTCCTAGTGTTATTGTAGAGCTATTTCTCCCTTCAATTCTGTTGATATTTTGGAGCTCTGATATTTGATGCATTTATATTTATAATTCTTATATTTTCTTGGCGGAATTGACCTTTTTGTAATATGTCCTTCTTTGTCTCTTGCAATAATTAAAGTCTATTTTGTCTGATATTAGTATAGCTACGTCTGTTCTCTTCCAGTTACTACTTTGCAAGAAATATCTTTTGCCATACTTTAATTTCTTTTTTTTTCTTTTTGGAGACGGAGTCTCGCTCTGTCGCCAGGCTGGATCGCCACTGCAGGCCGGATCTCAGCTCACTGCCAGCTCCGCCTCCCAGGTTTACGCCATTCTCCTGCCTCAGCCTCCCGAGTAGCTGGGACTATAGGCGCCCGCCACCTCGCCCGGCTGGTTTTTTTGTATTTTTTAGTAGAGACGGGGTTTCACCGTGTTGGCCAGGATGGTCTCGATCTCCTGACCTCGTGATCCGCCCGTCTCGGCCTCCCAAAGTGCTGGGATTACAGGCTTGAGCCACGGCGCCCGGCCATACTTTTATTTTCAACACATGTGTATGCTTAGATCTACAGTGAATCTCTTTCAATTGATTTTTGACAAAAGTATAAAGGCAATTCAATAGAAGATAGTCTTTTCAACAAATGGTGTCTGTATTAGTTTGTTCTCATGCTGCTAATAAAGACATACCTGGCTGGGCATGGTGGCTCATGCCTGTAATCCCAGCACTTTGGGAGGCCAAGGTGGGCGGATCACGAGGTCAGGAGACCGAGACCATCCTGGCTAACACGGTAAAACCCCGTCTCTACTAAAAAATACAAAAAACTAGCCGGGCGAAGTGGCTTTTTAGTAGTAAAAATACAAAAAATTAGCCAGGCATGGTAGCGGGCGCCTGTGGTCCCCGCTACTCGGGAGGCTGAGGCAGCAGAATGGCGTGAACCCAGGAGGCGGAGCTTGCAGTGAGCTGAGATCGCCCCACTGCACTCCAGCCTGGGGAACAGAGTGAGACTCTGTCTCAAAAAAAAAAAAAAAAAAAAAAAAAAAAAAGACATACCTGAGATTAGGTAATTTATAAAGGAAACAGGTTTAATTGACTCATAGTTCCACATGGCTGGGGAGGCCTCACAATCATGGCGGACAGCGGCAGGCAAGAGAGCTTGTGCAGGGGAACTCCCATTTATAAAACCATCACATCTCACGAGACTTACTCACTACCATGAGAACAGTATGGGGGAAACGACTCCATGGTTCAATGATCTCTGCCTGGTCCCACCTTTGACACGTGGGAATTATCACAAGTCAAGGTGACATTTGGGTGGGGACACCCATATCAGTGTTGTGACAACTGCATATTTATTATGCAAAAAATTAACCAACCTTTTTTTTTTTTTTTTTTTTGAGATGGAGTCTCGCTCTGTCGCCCAGGCTGGAGCGCAGTGGCGCGATCCTGGCTCACTGCAAGTTCCCCCCGCCTCCCGGGTTCACGCCATTCCCCTGCCTCAGCCTCCCCAGAAGCTGGGACTACAGGCGCCCGCCACCTCGCCCGGCTAATTTTTTTGTATTTTTAGTAGAGACGGGGTTTCACCGTGTTCGCCAGGATGGTCTTGATCTCCTGACCTCGTGATCCGCCCATCTCAGCCTCCCAAAGTGCTGGGATTACAGGCTTGAGCCACCGCGCCCGGCCAAAATTAACCAACTTTATGTCAGGACCTGTGAATGTAAAGAAAAAAAAAAAAAATCAGCCGGGCGCGGTGGCTCAAGTCTGTAATCCCAGCACTTTGGGAGGCTGAGATGGGCGGATCATGAGGTCAGGAGATTGAGACCATCAGGGTTAACACGGTGAAACTCCATCTCTACTAAAAAAAATACAAAAAAACTAGCCGGGCGAGGTAGCGGGCGCCTGTGGTCCCAGCTACTCGGGAGGCTGAGGCAGGAGAATGGCGGGAACCCGGGAGGCGGAGCTTACAGTGAGCCGAGATCGCGCCACTGCACTCCAGCCTGGGTGACAGAGCGAGACTCCATCTTAAAAAAAAAGAAAAAATAATAACCTTAACCTGTATCTCATACCTGATACAAAAATTAACTCAAATTGTATCATAGATCTAAATGTAAGATGTAAAACTTAGAATTTTTACAAGAAAACACAAAAGAAAATTATTGTGACTATGGAATAGGCAGAGTTCTTTGATGTGATACCAAAATCACAATCCATAAAAGAAAAACAAATTGGCCGGGTGCAGTAGCTCAGCCTGTAATCTCAGCACTTTGGGAGGCCATGGCAGGCAGATCACCTGAAGTCGGGAGTTTGAGACCAGCCTGACCAACATGAAAAAACCCCATCTCTACTAAAAATACAAAATTAGCTGGGCGTGGTGGCGCATGCCTGTAATCCTGGCTACTTGGGAAGCTGAGGCAGAAAAATTGCTTGAACCTGGGAGGTGGAGGCTGTGGTGAGCAGAGATCGTGCTGTTGCACTCCAGCCTGGGCAACAAGAGCAAAACTCTGTCTCAAAAAAAAGAAAAAAGAAAAAAAATTGATAAATTGGACTTGATCAAAATGTAAAAATCTTTGCCCTATAAAAGATACTGTTGGCCGGGTGCAGTGGTTCATGCCTGTAAACCGAGCACTTTGGGAGGCTGAGGTGGGCAGTTCACTTGAGGTCAGGAGTTCAAAACCAGACTGGCCAATGTGGCAAAACCCCGTCTCTACTAAAAATACAAAAATTAGCTGGGTGTGATGGTGCATGCCTGTAATCTCAGCTACCTGGGAGGCTGAGGCAGGAGAATTGCTTGATCTGGGCGGCGGAGGTTGGAGTGAGTTGAGATGGAGCCACTGCACTCCAGCCTGGGCAACAGAGGGACAATCCGTTTCAAAAAAAAAAAAAAAAAGTTTGAACATACACTTTACCAAGGAAGATACAGAGGTGGAAATAAGACAACATCATAAGTCAAGAGAGAAATGGAAATGAAAATCACAATGAGATACCCAAAAACACTGGAAGCAGGGGATCCAACAGATGCTGATTTTACCTATTGTCTTAGTCCGTCTGTGTAGCTAGAACAGAGTACCTGAGACTGGGCCACTTATAAAGAAAAAAGATTGATTTTGCTCATGCTTCTGGTGGCTGGAAAGTTCCACTTCCGGCATCTGCATCTAGTAAAGGCCTCAGCTGGCGTCCACTTATGGCGGAGATGAAGGGGCGCCAGCATGTGAAGAGATCACATGGGAAAGCAGAAGCAAGGTGGAGGGGTTCACTTAACACCCAGCTCTCCCAGCAACTAAGAGAGTAAGAACTCACTCACCCACCGAGGGAGGGCACTAGCCTCTTCATGGGGGACCTGCCCCCATGACCCAAACGCCCCTCGCCAGGTCCCCCTCTAACCCTGGGGATCGAATTTCAACGACAAACATCCAGACTATAGCACCTATGTCAGCAGCATGATGCACAACAGCCGGAAGGTGGAAACAACTCAATTGTCCATCAGCAGATTAATGGATGAAAAAATAAAGAAATGCTGAAGGCTGGGTGCAGTGGCTGTGCCCGTAATCCCAGCATTTGGGGAGGCTGAGGCAGGCGGGTCACCTGGGGTGAGTTTGAGACCAGCCTGGCCAACATGGTAAAATCCCATCTCAGGCACAAAATACAAAAATTAGCCAGGTGTGGTGGCACATGCCTGTAATCCCAGCTATTCAGGAGGCTGAGGCAGGAGAATCGCTTGAACCCAGGATAGGGAGGTTGCAGTGAGCCGAGATGGTGCCACTGCACTCCAGTCTGGGCCACAGAGTGACTCTGTCTCAAAACAAAACAAACAAAGATAAAAAATAAATAAATTAAAAATAGGCTGGGTGTGGTGGCTCACACCTGTAATTCCAGCACTTTGGAAGGCTGAGGCTGGTGGATCACTTGAGGTCAGGAG